TCCTTTGGTGCGACTCCACGGTATGTCTAGCCTGGATCAAAACAGAAGCTAACAAACTTCAACCCTTCGTTCAAAACAGGGTGGCACACATTCAATCACAAACGCAGGCAGAAAGTTGGCATCACATCAATACTGCTGAAAACCCAGCAGACTTACTTTCTCGTGGCGTATCACCTACTTACCTTCTAAACTATCAACTTTGGTGGAATGGCCCGACTTGGCTATCACACGAACACGACAAGTGGCCCATTGCACAAGCCAAACTTGAAGGTGAGTTGCCAGGATTAAAGAAACAACTCGTGTCATTTCCTGCCACATGTACGCCCGACATTCTCAAAATTTCATCTTATTCTAGCTTTTCAAAACTTCAGCGCGTGACAGCGTATGTACTCAAGTACATCTCAAATTGCAAATTGCCCAAGAAGGATCGATCAATCGGAGGACTTACGGCATCAGAACTTTCAACCGCCTGTACTCACCTTACAATAACAGCACAGAGGCAATCCTTTAGGGATGATTACTTCACTTTGAAACGTGGTAAGCCATTACCTAAATCTTCAAAATTACTTTCTTTGAACCCATTTATAGACGACAAGGGTGTCATTCGTGTTGGGGGAAGAATTCAAAACTCAAATTCTTGCTTCGCATTTAAACACCCGGCCGTTCTTTCTGGCAAGCACCAGTTATCCAAATTGTTATGCGAGTATGAGCACATACGTCTGCTACATGCCGGACCACAGCAGACTCTTTATTCCTTACGGCAAAGGTTTTGGGTCACGAGTGGTAGAAACCTTACCAGACAAACCGTTCGTACTTGTATAAAATGTTTCCGATGCAATCCTTCGGTTACTTTACCTATGATGGGTGTACTTCCCAAAGCACGTGTCACTCCAGCTCCACCGTTTCATACTACCGGAGTAGATTACGCGGGTCCTGTCATGATCAAGGATAAAAATGGTCGAGGTGCGAAACTGACTAAGGCCTACATAGCTTTATTCGTTTGCTTTGCCACAAGGGCTATTCATTTAGAACTTGTTAGTAGCTTGACCACAGAAACCTTCATTGGTGCCTTTCGTCGGTTTACCGCCCGCCGTGGAAAACCACAGGAAATTTGGAGCGACAATGGCTCAAATTTCAGAGGGGCTGAAGCGGAACTGCGCGAACTCGCGTCCTTCCTTGCCCAAAATAAAGCTCACTTACAAGAAAACATAAGCAACACAGGTGTAACTTGGAAATTTATACCAGCCTTTTCTCCTCACATGGGGGGCATCTGGGAAGCAGGGGTAAAATCTGCAAAGAAGCATCTGCGCCGCATCCTCGGCTCATCAAATCTGACCTTTGAGGAATATTATACCGTACTCACTCAAATAGAAGCGGTTTTAAATTCAAGGCCGATTGCTCCTATGTCTTCCTCTCCTGACGATCCTTTGGCCCTAACGCCATCCCATTTCCTTATTGGGCGTCCAGCTACTGCATTGCCCGATCCGGACTTCACCGAAACACCGATGACAAGATTGTCAAGACACCAGTTGCTACAGCAGTTACAACAGCACTTTTGGAGGCGCTGGTCCAACGAATACTTGAGCGAGCTACAGCAACGTATCAAGTGGAGATCACATCAATGCCAACTTCAACTTGGTTCATTAGTAGTTCGCCGAGACGATAACCTACCTCCTCTACATTGGAAACTTGGTAGGGTTTCCACGCTTCATCCTGGCGCAGACGGCAAGGTTCGAGTTGCTACCGTGCGAACATCTTCAGGTGCAGTGAAACGTGCGGTAACAAAGCTTTGTGTGTTGCCAATAGAGCCCGAACCAGTGCAGAAACCGGACTGTAAAGTTAGTGATGTAAAAACAAAACGCGATCATAACGTGCTATCTTATTCCATTTTGCAATCGGATGTACTATTGTGAAATGTATTCATTCGTATATTGAAAGCTGACTCTTTCAAGGTCGGGGGTATGTTTACGCCTCAAAACTTTTTTCTATGTATACAATATCTATAATTATTTCCGCTATATTCGCATGCGCGGCTGAAAAGAAGCGACGTTGCAATTAAGAAAGACTGACTTCCTTGTACGACCTTCGAAAATAAACACGTACATTTTGAGCGGGTGTTTCCCTTCTTGATTCACCTCTCATCAGCAGCAATATTACAAAAAACAAATGGGTACTCCAATTTTTGTGGGAAAACTTTTTATTCGGCAACAAAGAATGAGACGTGTTTTTTGGGATTTAATTGAAAATGTTGACAGGAACTAAAAAACTCTTCAAATAAGGTTTTTCGGTATATATGCGACCTACAGAATGAGACCATACGTAAAAATATCCGACCAACAGTAAAAAAGGTATGGCCGAAAACGAGGGAAAATGCAGGTTTTGGTACTTGTTGCTAGTGCGACGATAATTTCACGCAGCTACTTGAAATTCTTCAAATCCGTAGGCTTCATACTTCTAAATAAGCACAACAAAATTGGAGTCGACTGGTCAAGTAGATTTGAGAATTTCTAATTGTTTATCCCACAACACCTGTCTTCCAGCCATCACTAGTATTTTATTGAGCAATATAGAGGGTTCGTTCAAAGGGCATTTTATAGCGAAATACACGCGGACATGAATCACAAACCATTCCGAAAGAAAATTGTTATAAATTCAAACATTTCGTATTTGTGAGTAATTGAACTGATTCGCTACGATATTCGAAAAATATACGTTATTTTAAAACTCTTGTGTATACGTATCAAGAGCTGAAATTTTTGGGCGGTCACAGATGAGCCTTAAAGTTAATAAAAAAATAGTTCATTCGGAAATGCGCTGAACTGTTTATAAAGTTAGCACACAAACTAAAGACACAATTATGTTTCAAACTAGCTAGTATGTAGTATGGGCTAAATAGCTGCATTATTAATGACTGCATGGCTTTGTCAAATAAGTAGGTCACATAATCCAGTTTCATTACGAAGAAATTTAAATCCCTGGACCTTTTTTCTAAAAGTATTAATATAGTATGCGTCTGTTTTCGAAATCTTGTACGCTTAAAATGACTGCGAGGTCAAAATGTAGGAAAATAAACTCGATAAAACGAAAAAACAGTCGACAAATAAATATCAACCAATTGTAGTGAACTGACCGTCTGAAAAATAAGGCAAAATGTTCGGTATTAGTCCCTAATATATTATTTAAAGTTTCAGCATTGTATCTTGTATAGTTTTCACGAGTATTCTGATTGTTTTTAACAGATTTGATATGCCTCCAATGTTCGCGTGACATTATTTGTCAGTGTCAAGTCTAGTGGTATAAAGATCCAGTAAACCAAGGTAGGGTAATGAGAAGGAGTAACGATTGCAGAACCGCAGGACGAAGGTTCGAATCCACAAAGTTCATTTTTTCTATTATTTTTTTTAAATTCGGAGAAATAAAGGCTTGTTCACATTATGTGTACCTTTATTAAATATTATATTGAGAGAGAGAGAAACTTATCGGCAAAATGTCTCTACTCACCTTTCGCTATTGAAAGCCTGTTTAATGCACTACAAAGTTAATTAACCAAAGTTAGTGGTTAAACACAATGTGCAGATAATACGAAAAATTAAGCAGCATTATGGTTGCTATGGTTAATAAATACAAAATGTCAATCTTTTATATAGTCTCATTCTAAGCACAACAATACAAATTTTAGATGCAAAAGAAGAATTATGTCACATTTTAAGAAATAATTGAAATTGCTTAATTCCCGATGTTTTGTATATTTAACTTTCAAGCACCCTCTTTCCCATCACCCCCGAAAAGGGAGATTGCCTTTGCGTTATGCTACCATAATATAAAAATACAAACTATGCAAAAAATGTCTACGCTGTTGATGAAATTAACATCTACGCTCAACCGTAACTTGATAAATACAAAAACTGTAGGTTAGCTCACTTAATTTTATCCTCTGCGGCTCCAAGAGGTTCCTAATTTCACCGCGTTCGAAAACTTGAAGCTAATAATTAACCCATCTAAGATATGTTTTCAAAAATTATCTGCTATGAACCGACATAATGTTTCTGAAATGTTATCAAAGTAATATAAAAAAAAATTATAAACAATCATACGTATACAGCTAGTTTCCTTTTTGTAAGCCTACAAAGTACACATAATGTGAAAAAGCTTTTGTTTCTCCAAATTTACAACAAATAATAGAAAAAAAGGAGCGATCGTTGGAGGTATATCAAATATGTTATAAACAATTAGAATACTCTTGAAAACTATACAAGATTCAATACTGAAACTTTAAATAATGTTACCGAGCATTTTACCTAATTTTTCAGATGGTCAGTTCGCTACAATTGCTTCATATTTGTCTACTGTTTTTTTGTTTTCTCAAGTTTATTTTCCAACATTTCGAACTCGCAGTCGTTTTAATCGTACGAGATTTCTAAAACAGACGTATACTATATTAATACTAATAGAAAAAAGATCCAGGGGATTATACAGGGTGTCCGCAAAGTTGGGGTTTTCCTTCACACGACGTGTAGATCTTGAGAAAATAAGCGGATTTTCTTAGTAGCATTTACACAAATGTCTTAAGAGAACCGAGATATTGGGCTCCACAAACTCAATCAAATCTGAACCAAACCGAAGCCGGTCCTGTCCTATCCATCGATCACGTCACGAGCGCCAGCGTACAGTTATACGACGCGCGACTACGATGTAAATACGGACTTTACGACAGAGTCGTACTTTGAATTTCAATTCACCTGAACAGTAAGTACTTTTTCATTTATTTTTTTTACCTGTTCGCTCACGTTTCACCACACATTAGCTTTATTATATCAAGCGTAGTTGTGTCTGAAAAGGAAAACCCCAACTTTGCGGACACCCTGTATTTATTCGTAAAGAAACTGGATTACGTGACCTACTTATTTGACCAAGTTATGCAGTCATCAATAATGTAGCATTTAGCTTCTGCTACATACTAACTACTCTAATACTTGAAACAATTGTGTCTTCAGTTTGCGTGCTAACTTTATAAACAGTTCAGCGCATTTCAGTATGAAATTTTTTTTTTTATAAACTTTAAGGCTCATCTGTGACCGTCTAGAAATACTGCAGGTCTCATAAATACCAAAAAATTTTATTTGAAGAATTTTTTCGTTTCTGCCAACACTTTCGATTGAATCCCAAAAAAACACGTTTTCTCATTCTTTGTTGTCGAATAAAAGGTTTTCCCACCAAAATTGGTGTACCCATTTTATGCGTTCATGTTTTAAATACCCCAATGACAACTTGCATTTATAAAACCAGACTTTACAATATTATTTCGCAACCCAGGGGTATTTTTATCTAGTATGATTACACAATGTGTTTCTGGCACAATAACGCGTCGCAGTGAGACAGATCAAGCCAGAAACAAGATTCAGTAGAGCCATTTATGTGGAAATTTTACATTTGGTATGATACGTACATACAAAATGCTACTTATACAGTGTACACCCTTCATATACAAAAACATATACTAATACTCCTTAACTTGGCCCAAAAAATGAACACACCTTCGTGCAAGAAATATATAACTAATATAGCCTAGATATTCACTGAAACTGTCTCGTCACTGTGTAGATATAATATTGTCAATGATAGTAATCGCTGGAGCACAATGTCCTATTGTCCTTCATGCCAATATGCAGCTTTATCCGTCAATTTTAACCTTTTTGATTGGAATGGAGAGATGAATCATTATGACCATTTTAAATAGTTTCTGCTCCACCCAAAGACATGGTATTTGGACTTGGTGTTGAACTCATAGAGCTCAAAGTGTCCTCCTTTTTGACTTTGGTTGGGTCCTCCTCCTTCTTGTCCTTATCTTTCTTCTCTTTATCCTTACTATGCTTGTGTTTATGATGTTTGTGTTTATGCTTTTTCTTATCTTTCTTTTTCTTTTTCACCTGTAACATAATTGGAATCATCGACGTGTCACATAGACTAATACATATTTTTTAAATTTAAGTATATCAAAATTAGGGCTCAGATACTTTTGAAGTTCCTTTTGACTTTACTCTCTAAACTACAAATGTACCGCTTGGTCCAGAGCTGCCAGACACTACTTATTTTCTGAAAGACAAATTTTGGGACATTGAGTAGGGATTCAACAAATGCATATCTGCTAAGTTCTTACTTTGTAAAAGGTCCATAACATTCGCCAGACTAAAGCACCCAAAAATAATTACCTACATTCCCAGGCTTGACTTTTATATACGAGTATATATTATTTAGGGGACTATTTTAAAACTATTTAGTTAACCAGACAGGTCAGGGACAAACATCCAACCAGACAAACAAAAGAGCCTCAGGTCTCATGATCTGCATGGGACTTAAAATGCCCCCTTACCGAGATACATGGTGTTGAAGTTTTAAAAAATTATTTCTTCGGAGTAGATAAAAATATTAACCTAAAATTTTATATAATGTAGTGCTAACATTATATAGAATATATATAATCGTTTTTGTGTCTGAGAGTACACCAGTGGCGCAGAAAGTGAGAAATTTTCATATATGTATGAGAAAACAGGGAATTACTTTTACGTCACTGACTTTTTGAAACATCAATTGTATATTTGACTAATAATTATATTTCTTCACATCAATTATAAATTGCGAATAAATTGATATGCCACAAAAGAAACATATCCTTTTGTATGGATATCATTCTAACTCATATAACATAACATATAACACAGTAGTTACAATAAATTGATTGATAAGGACTAGAAAATATATCTAGTTGGATAAGAAATACAAACTAAATTATTTATCGGGAATCGGCAAAGCTTATAGCGTAGTGAACTCTTTTGACTTAAGTCTCAAGCTTTCGGCAGAATATGCTGTCATCTTCAGGAGTTAGTCGGTGAGGTTGCTGCTAAATTACATTTTTATCTGTTCCTTCCTTAAAAACAAACCCAATGTGTCCAGTCTGTAATACTTTAATTTTGTATTGTTGATTAGTAATGCTGAAAGGATATAAAAGTTTTTATGAATTACATCATGCTTATATCAGTATTCAATAGCCACTCATCTAATTTTAATAATGATATTCGGTTTTTTCTGATATATTTTGATTTCAACATTATTTCCTTTTTTGGTGATGTAATAATTATTTGTTTATTTTCATTTCTAGTATCATATTCATAATTTTTATAAATGCTAGAATGTTTGTTTTTATGGAATTCTTATATAACATTATACCAAAATAATTTTTTTATATTCAAAAGTTTTGATCCTATAAACAAAGATTTGGAGTGATATAATAAAGATTTGTTATGCATTGTTTTTATGATTTTTTTTATTTGTAAAGAATTTAGATGGTTGCTATTCGTGGATCCCCAGCATTCAACTTATGTTTGATATAAAATTTTCAATTGATTTGCGTTGAAAACGTGTTGTAATATCTGAACTTATATCACAGAAATCTAAGTTTCTTTATAATAAACTGGTGGACAGTTGCTTTGCAACATGGAAAATTTTAACAAATTCAAATCTCGATACCTTCGGAAAGGAAAGAGATATCGACTTGCGGTATTCGGAAAGTTCTTGACCAACTTTTTGAGAACACGTACAGGATTCGACCGGTATATTTCTTTTATTTATCCACTTATTCAGGGTGAGCAAGGGAAGTCATGTTTTTTAGCAAAGCCTCGGGCTATATCAGATTCTCAATTTTTTTATCTTTGGACTATCCTAAAAAAGTGATATCTCAAATTTTTCGAAAGTTGGCTATAACTCAAATTATAGAATTTTTAACTTCCCGCAATAAATGTCTTTCGGCTCGACCTCGTATCTTTTTGATTACCCTCTCCAGGCAAATAGGTCGTTTCTCCGGTTTCTACCTACACCTCAAACATGCAATTGCTACGCAACAGTAACATTGATGACTGTAGAGACAGTATAATTTTATTTTCTCAAAAATGCCTTGTCTTTTTCAAGAAGAACGAGAGAATTACTGGGAGAATGTCGTTTAGTGAATGATGTAGCTTTAATTTATAATGTTGATCGGCGTCAATATACCATTTAAGGCGTAGATATCAGAATACCGGGGAAATTTCCTACTTGCATGGAGGAGGTAATCATCCAGAACCTTGATCGAAAACTTACGGCGGCACAGCGGAATGATAGCATCCAACGTACTATAAGATGAACTTTAAATTCTAGTTTGTTAAGGTATATAAATGTAAAAAAAATTTGGTAGGTACTTTTTAAAGTAGCATTTCTTCCAGGCCAAGGCGTCGCGCCAAGTGTACCCGACTCTTGAACAATCATACAGTTGCCAGGTATAGAAGCGGGTAAAGCAGTCGCCAAATTGCATGTGTCCGAGGTAACTCTCTTCAACCTATACCACTCTGATGGTAGGGACCTTGTTTGGAGATTGCTGGGGAACGATATGATGAAGAAAGCTTGGCTCCACAAAAGGCGTTTGGTGGAGCTGGCATTACTGTTTGGGCTAGGGTTATGCACAATGGTACAGCCGAACCTTTTATTTCAAACAGGACAGTCAATGCTGCAGTTTATAGGGACAACATTTTAAACAATATTGTTGTAGCTTTTGGGGAGGATTTTGTGTTCATCGATGATAACGCCAGGCCGCACAGAGCTTTTTATAATAATATAATGTTACATTATCGCCTCTGCCATCAAAGTCTCCAGACCTAAACAGAATTGAGGATGTGTGGTCTCGGCTAAAATGTTTAGTGCGGTCAAGGCAAAATGCTCAAACAATAGAAGAGCTGTCTGAGGCCATTCAAGAAGAGTGGAAAGCGCATCCTGAGAATCAGTGGCGAAGCGTCCATGTAACCATTGTTACCATTGGTAACAGTTAAAAATCTTGAAAATAAATATTTTATGACTAAGTACTGTGAAATGATTTCATTTATATGTTTACCAACAGCAATATGTAATAGTACTTCAGTAAATAGCAAACTAGCCGCAAGAAAATAATGCGAACGCGATGAAGCTGACTCGCCTCGACTTGGTTGTCGGTTGTTACCATTTTCGTTTATGGATACACCTGATAGTGCTTTGGGGACCGTCGGTGCCGGCTCGTGTGTGATCGCGGTCGCCAGAGTGCGTGGGCCGCTGCGAGTATTATGTGGGCTTGTTACCACTTTTTGTTTTTTTTACTGACTTTTCACTCGTAAGTAGCCGTTTTGGTTACCGGCTGTAGTGTGCGTGGAATTAAACGGATGAATGTCGCTGCGTAATCGATCAACTATACTTAAAAAGTCATTCTCCTTATATAATTTTGAAGAAAAAAAAAAGGAGATCATTAAAAATGAAGACCAACACCTATTTCAGATGATTTTAAATAGGAATAAAAAAAGTAGTTCGTTATTTTAAATTAAGTTGGTATAGTGAAAACTCTTGGTTATGTGGCTGCAAGAAAAACAGATTGTATTGTTGGCCAAGTCTCGTTTTCTACAGAAAAAAATGGGTGATCCAGCAGCGGAGTCAACGATTTAAATAGTCTTTGGGTTCCAAAGGAGACATGAAATTTCTCCGTCACATGTGAGATGTGTAGCCAATTTGATTTATTTTGGCAAAACAAGAATCGAAAGTCTTAACCAAGCTTTTAGGCAGCCCTCTTATAGATGCCGTATGTTTTTTGGCCAAACAAGAATGACCATTTCGGGGTCATTTTGAAGCGGATAACTCTGACAATAGTGAAAATTACAGAAAACTGTTAACATTAATTGCCAAAAAAGATCAAAAATTTTCCGAACATCTAGAAACGTCAATTGTTTTTTCGGAAGGCTTGGATTAGTCATAGCATAAGCATAAGACAATAATTAAAAAAGTTTAAATAAAATACCTACAATAAGCAAAAACTTTTTTTAATAAGATCATTCACATCTGGTTTTGGTAACTATTTACAAAAAGTCACGCGTCGCCACTGCTGATAATTTATTAATAACCTTCTGGAAAGTATGCCACGAAGATGCCAGGCTGTGATCGATGTGCACAGTGGCCCTACAAGGCACTAACAATATTGTTTAAAATAACTATTGCTGTTTTGTATAAAGTTCGTTTTTGTCATAAATAAATAATTTAGTTATTTGACTGGTCTTCAAATTTGTTTTCTAAGATGTTACATATTGTTAATGTTAATCAATAAATTCTTTGATGTTGTTTAAAAATTTAATAGAATCTATTACCTATTGGAAGACATCTCCTTTAAAGACGCGTACACCAATGGTGGATGCGGAAGGTAAAAAATGCCAGATTAAACATGCATTTTTATGTTATTAGTACTTCTTACCAAACCAAAAACTGCTTTTGGTGTTACGCCACTGGAATACACCTCTATATTAAGAGTAGTAACTTGGATTTGTTCATTAAGCTGTTTAACTGCATAGTAAAATTTATAAATTCGGTTTAAATTACATAATGTCAAAATAGTAAATTTTTACTGTTATCCCTTTTTAGAGATAAATAGAACAATTTTTTAAAATTCGAAAATTTGAGTTACAGCCAGCTTTCGAAAAATCTGAGATATCACTTTTTCTTAGGATATGTTAGTTCAAACATCAAAAATATGCATAGAAAAATTTCCAAGATCAAACATTGAGAATCTGACATAGCCAAAAACTTTGCTAAAAAAAACCTGACTTCCTTTACTCACCATGTACGTAAGTAAGTGGATAAATAAAATAAATATACCGATACCCTGTACGTGTTCTCAAAGAGTTGGTCAGGAACCTCCCGAATACCGCAACTCGCAACTTCCGTTCCGAAAATATCGTGATTTCAGTTTGGGTAAAATGTTCCATGTTGCAAAGCAACTGTCCACTAGTTTAATTCTGAAAAATTCTGAGATACTTAGGCTTTAGCTTACGTAATATATATATATTTTCTTTGGGTAGAAGGCAAAGTATTTCTAAAAAATCATTTTGAAAGG